ATACCTAGACACAGGAGAACTATTGTTGTGAAAGTGTTGTACAGTCGATTACGAATTTAGATTGCAGAGAGTTTGTTCTGAGCGCTAAAGGCACTCACGATAGAGCACATTTTGCTTTATTCTAACACCCATTGTCAGTTTTGAAGCAAAAAGAAGGAGCGAGTTTCATTTCGCTACAGAAAACTTGTGTAGGCAAAGTACCAAAAGTGATGTTTTGAGGACCCGGATATGCGTGTTGTTTTTGTATTTTTGTTTTTTCAATAATAATAATAACTTGAGACATTATTCGTTAATATGCTACTCTGTGGGCATTTGATTGCCAGTGAAATATTTGGCTGTGAAGGTCAAGTACTGTGAAGCGGTGAGTCAACAACAAGTTTGAACCATGTGAGGCTTGGGCAAAATGAAAAGGTGGAGACGCTGAAGAGACGTGCAACAACACTCTTGCTTTCAAGAAAACAGAGGTCCAAGTACACGTTTAGACCTGTTTAACAAAAGTAGTCATTTTACACTTTTAATGTGAAATAATTAGGGATTTAACACATTGATTTTACTCTGAGATTGCTGTGTAGCAAATGTACCATGTTCTACGTCTTGATTCGTACCAATCCTACAGTACCTAGTAGTCTTTGGGTCATTGTTAGAATAAAGCAAAATGTGCTCTACCGTGAGTGCCTTTAGCGCTCAGAACAAACTCTCTGCAATCTAAATTTGTAACCAACTATACAACACTTTCACAACAATAGTTCTCCTGTGTTAGGTATACTTTGAGTGAAATTGTTCCTATTTGATTAATTTTTGGCTTGAATTGATGATTCAATCACAAAAGTAAGTTCAACAATTTTCCCTTGGAAAATCCCTAGTTTACAGAACTCCATTCGACTTCTACGACAATTCTGTGTTGAATGCAGTACTTTGGGACATCTTGTATTATTCCCTACTACATCGTACACAACATCGATATCTCACTTGTATAGGTTCATTCCCTTTTTGTGTGGATGTAGATTGTCCGACAGACTTGCGTCCGGCATACTTGCGTTGAATCCCGACATCAAGATCAAAGTCCGATCGTACGTGTTGAAAACTTTGTACTTGAATAGTTTCTTTTTGGAACGTAAAAACTCATATTTCGTCATATCCCAACACACTCCTGCCATTGTGACAATCACCATTGGCAGCAATGGGACATGCTTTCATTCACTGTTTATTTTTGTTTTGTATTTTCATTTTGAACATATACATACTTGTCTGACCTAGTCCTGTGGACCAAGAATTAGATTGCTGAACTTGCGAAACTTCTCACCTTGCAATGGCTTAGTCATGAAGTCCGCAATCATATCGTCAGTTGGACAGTATTCGATCTTAACATTTCCTTTCTCAACTTGATCTGTGATAAAGAAACAACGAATATTGATAGCTCGGCTTCTTTTGCCCGCGCTCTTGCAAAAATTCTCTTCCAGTAGAATTGCGCTTTTGTTATCCTGATACAAGATATTCTTCTCGATTGGATACCCTTGCCACTCCATGAACAACTTCGTCCATAGTATCATCGTGACAACATCGTCAACAGCAATCAGTTCCGCTTCCGTACTGCTTCTGCTGTTTAGTTTTTGTTTCTTCGACATCACTTGAGCTGCACCTCCTCCAAAGGACAGAGTGCCGCCAGTATGGCTCTTGAAATCTGGATGCACCGCAAATGATGCGTCAATCATCCATTTCATGACTCGTAGTGATTCTGCGGAAAGTGTCAGGTGATACAACAATGTACAAAACAAATATCGCATCATGCGAACACACTTCTTCCAATCAGACTCTGTAGGTTCTTGAACTCTCAAGGCAAGAATAGTAATCGTTGGATGGATATCCAAACGAGCTCTCTTAGAGACATAAAGTCCCCTTGCAAGGTTTAGCAGCAATTGCCACTTTCTTGTTGTTCTTCGACTTTCCCATTGTCAGTTTTGATGCAAAAAGGAGCAGCAAGTTTTGTTTTGCTAGTGGATTGCTTACTTCTACCACCCTGTTCAATAACAATCTCTTGTGCCTCATCCTGAGAGAAATCGAGAACATCTCGAATGTAGTTCCTCCATGCGATTCTCGCAGCGGCCATCGTTCAATGTTTTTCGTGTTGTTGTAAAAATAACACGGCACAAATTTCAATATTTTCGTTTTGCCAGTTGTTTTCATTTTCTGGTCGGAGTTGTATAATGCAATTTCGCATGACTACATCAATGTAAGATCTTAATTAAAAGAATTGCACTACAAATAATTATATACAGAATATCGAGCAAGATATCCTGGGTATGTCTACCCATGTGGCAAATTACTCACAAGCAAAAGGTTTAAACGGTAACAGGTGGCCGTCTTCAACCAACGCTCGAGACTGAAATGTAGCAACATGAAAACCATGGATCCTTTGACAATGGGCGATCCAACCTTTGCCGGTCAACCACAAACTTTGGAGACCAGATATTATTTCAAAAAGCCTTCTCAAGCTTTAGCTCACAACAAAGAGCTTCCTGGGGCTGATAAACCGTTAAAATGCGCTGCTAGAGTCAGGACCCCCCGCAACTCGTCTATCGACCAAACGTTTTGGAATTTCACATCTCCGACTTCTTTGACTACTAAATAGTTTTCAATTCACCCCTGGGCCTGGGCATTGTTGTAACAAAATATTGTTTTTGATCGGTTTTGTGTCGCAGTGACGTGTTTCAATTTCTTTGATCGGTTTCAAAATTGTTTGATAGGTTTCATGTTGCAGTGACTTGTTTCGATTTCTTTGATCGGTTTCAAAATCATTTGATTGGTTTTGTGTCACAGTGACTTGTTCCAATTTCTTTGATCGGTTTCGCTTAGAAACCGATCAAACGATTTTGAAATTGATCAAAGAAATTGAAACAAGTCAATGCGACAAGAAACCGATCAAAGGATTTTGAAACCAATCAACAAAATCGAAACCGGCAAACAATTTTGAAACTGATTAAAGAAATCGAATCAAGTAAAAAAAATGAGTCACGAAACAAATTGAAAATCATGTCAATCAAAGCAAAATCCTTCAAGATGATAGTACAGTCGTCCAATCAAGAAATATCAGGGTCAAGTACTCCTCCCTTGGTCCTTGCGCCTGCAATGTTGGTGATTTGCAGGTCGGTGTACACCCAAACTGCAGTGCAGGGAGAAACTCTGAAGTGGTGTTTGAAACTTGGCACGCTTGATTTGCCAATCGCTGTAGCCCTTCAGAGCAAGGTCAGATTCCATCATCTCCAATGGAGTAACGAGATGGTTGATGGGCGGCTCGTCCATGAAAGAGACTGATTTGATGACAATATACAGAGACTCGTAAGGCTCCATCCGAGTATGATGTGGCTATTGTACGTCGCACTTTTTAATGAAAAAAGATGTCACAAAATTTCGAAACCGATCAAAGAAATCGAAACATATCTGTCGCAGTGACTTGTTTTGATTTCTTTGATCGGTTTCAAAAAGTCGTTTTAATTTATGAGGGGCTCCCTGCTGGCAGGGGGGGGGGGGGCGTGCGTAGTAATCACGTCCGACGCTCAAAAGTTGGTGGATAGACAGACGAGTTTCTGGGAGTCCAGCCAAAACAGATCAATTACTGCAAGACGGGGTAATTTTCTGAAATATGGATTACACACGGACAGACGGGGTCCCAGTGTCAGCGGGATCCCCTGTCAATTCCCGCTTGGCCTGCTTGTCCAGCCGTTAAATTCTAGCAATGCAATTTGCCAAAATAGACCTTGCCTTCAAACACCTGCCGGAATATCCAGCACTGGCCAACGGATGAATGATCCCCAGATGAGTAGACGACTGAAACCGTTGTTGGCACATTAGCTTCTGGTGCAGAAATAGGATTTCCATTTCCGCACGGTGCAGAAACCAGCTTCCAAGTGAGAGCCAGCTTTTGATACAGAAACGTCTCCCCCCAATTCTCCCCCAAATATAACCTGTCTCTTGTACTTCAAAAAAGATCATAATGAGAATTGACGTTTCAGAAGAAGTCTTCTTACACCTTGGGCTGCTACACTGTCAACATACTCTAACACAAATCAATAACACCTGCAAGGCAAGGAAACGGCCCAATTACCATTTTGATAAATGGAGATTTGGGAGAGGGGAGGATTGTAAGCACTGAAATATTCCCTTGATCTGATCGGCGATTGATCTTGGATGTTGTGTAATCCTGAATATGTATAGTTTACTATAGCGTCAATAGATTGCTATCGGAACAGGAGCTAGTATCTAGCCACCGGAGGGATACAAGAACTATGGACGCTGAGGCACCCAAAGATAGTTGTATTCATATCTCTCCTGACATTTTCTTTTGGCATTCTCCACTCCCTACTGGTATCTTTTGGCGTATGCAATCAAATGCTTCCCCCAATTTTTCTTTCCCTTAAAGAAACCTTTTGGCTCCAGCTTCCGAATGCGGATGTATTCACTGTTGTATGAGGATGTAGTGCTTGCACAGCGGATTTGAATTGTGTGCAAATTTGTTTTGAGCTTTTTCATTCTGCGTGCAGGCGATGATGACCGTTATTTTTGATGCATTTGTGTTGGCATGCAACCCGCTTGAGAGAGCGGTGACACCCGTCTGTCCCCTTGTCCCTATTTATGAAATTACCCTGTCTTGCTTGTAATGACCTTGGAGTGACCTTGGAACTAGATTAGACCCTTTGGAGGTACAGACATAGCTTTAGGCCTAACTCTCATGTCACTCCTTTCTGTGGCTTTCTGAGAGACTCTATAACTCTTGTTGTGACCCATTCCTATCTCTTCTTCTAGGCTGGTTCATTATTCAAATAGCCATAAGGATTAGATTGAAGACTACAAGAGTATACTCACACACACAAGCAATCGCCGTTTGATTTGATCAAAAAACCTCAATCCTTTCAGAATTGCAACCAGTTTCACACCACGCAACAAACAGTCAAAACTACTATGCTGAGTCGCACTACAATCAAGAAGCTGAAAGCTTTGCTGCGGAATGCAGCATTCCGGAATGGAACCAAGACGGAATGTCTTATGGTGGAATGCCAAGTGCCGAGCAGTACCAGCATCAGGAACAATATTATCAAGCTGAAAAGAAAATCAACAATGGAATGATCATTTCAACTTTGAACAGGAAAAATATTCTCCTGAAGAGCAGGAGGCGCAAGAATGGGCGTCGCCAACTTTCATCATTCCAAAGAAGGACGGTAGGTTGCGATAGATCAGCGATCTCAGACAGCTGAAAAAGACTGTCAAGCGTAAAGTATACCCCTTGCCTTTGATTGATGATATTGTTGTGCGTTGTTCTGGCTACAAAAAATTCACAAAACTTGAACTCACAATGATGTATTATTCTTTTATATGATGTATTATTCTTTGATAATGCGATTGCCGACTGCTTCTCTCAGCTTCGCAAATGGAGAAACTGTCTGAAGGGAAGAGTCCAAATAAGGCAAAAGAGACAGTATAAGATCAATGAAAACTTGAGGAGACAGAACGCGAAGCGAAAAGAGTTTGATTACAGAATTGGTGGAGAAGTTTTGATCAAGAATACTGATGGAAGAAAGTTGGATCCAAAGTACAGAGGTCCGTATCCTATTACAAATGTTTACACTATGGTACAGTGGAAAGTCAGCGCACAAATGCGATCCGTGAGAGGATCAACATCAGACGGCTTGTGCCATTCCGTCGAGTCTAATGGACGATATGCTTGCATCGCCCATTGCGTCAAGAACCACCTCTGAAGTTGAATGGAGTATCAAGTGGATGTAAGGACGCCTTGTGACTTTAGAGTATGATCAATCGACTGGCTCTGATCATAGAAGGGAAGCGTGTAATGACCTTGGAGTGACCTTGGACCTAGATTAGACCCTTTGGAGGTACAGACATAGCTTTAGGCCTAACTTTCACCTCACTCCTTTCTGTGGCTTTCTGAGAGACTCTATCGTTTAGTCGGGGCGGCCGAAGGATTGTCAGACACCTCAAATTTTGCATGTGAAAATTTGAGGTGTCACACCTCGTCGATGTGTCACACCTCGAATTTCTGACACTTTCCATTGTATCAATCGCAAGACATTAGGGCATCAAACTACACTTTAGCACATCCAAATACCCTCAGAAGGCCAATAGATAATACAAATAAGGTAATACATAGCCCTATTCTGGTCCACTTATTGCCTCAATGTACTTCATGTTTGCCATCTTTGCATTGTCAGATGGCATATTCCATTTGACTCCTTCCTTGGATGCGAGGGACGTCAAGTCTAGAAACCCCAATCCAAAGATGCTGGTATTATGCCAATCTACCGAGCATGACTTGCACCCCAAGAAGAAGTTGTCCAGAACCAAATGAGGGGGCTCCCTGAAGATCTTGCCATCGCCATCTTCCTTGGAGATCATGGTAGAGATCATCGCTGCAATCATTCGGACTTCATTTGGCCCTTGTGCACCAAATCCTGTAGGACGATGATGCAAGTTGTGGCGATAGATATATGCTTGTGGACGACACCGAGATGCATCAGTTACAATCGTGACTTGACCTCCTTTGTGTTGGTGAAATGGGATCTTGATAGGTAAAAGAACAGTCGAACATGTCGGACAGTGAAGTCGGACATTGGTGATATCGAACACGGACAGAAGTACGGTTCGAGTACGTACAGAGATGGATAAGT